ATGTTGTTTTTCTGCATCAGTTTATGTTGCAAACGTCTTTATTTTTTACATGAAGGAAAACAGAACCCTCAGGCGCTCGCTGACAGTTCAGATTCAAACAGAACAAACAGCATTTTTCCTTTCCAACACTACTTCTGCCATCATCAACCCTTCTGGAGCGCTTTCAATGTGCATGCAGCACCTATTAACCTCCCTGATTAATGAGTGAATCGGCATTAACTTACAAACCCCGCGAGTTTAATAGCTCACATGTGTTTCGGCAAGATTTCTGCTCGTGTTCGGTAATTATGTTCGCCACCAAAGATTTAGGGGGTTGCACGGACACATCATTTGTATTCTGGGGAGTGAAAAAGGACCCGACGTTGAGGAAAGAAAGTCAAAAAAACGGGAGCAACTCCAGAGCCGGTGACTGTTGGTCAGAAGGTTTTTCTTTATGCGTTGACAAAACTATCCAACTTCTGAAGCTAGAAAAAATGATTTAAGCTTAATTTTTAAAGAAGCTTCTGAGAGGACAAACACACAATGACCTTGTCAACTATAATGTATTACTGTTGATTAAAATACCCAATAAAATAAAAAAATTAGCTCAGACTTCAGCATCTATAGCAGCAAAATGCAGCAAAACTGAACCATTAATGCAGCTTAGTAACACTTTACTGCACAGTTTATACTTTTTTATTACTTACATACGTTCGCATAAATAAAGACTTTTTCTTGTATCGCAGCATTTTAATCAGTATTTTTATCTAAATGGAGAATCCAACTACTTTTTCCACCACTTTCACTCTCATAGCTGTGCATTAAATATTAAATTACAGCCAAAATGAGTCTCTGCTGGTCGTTATGGGGACAAAACTTCATTAGGTCCTGCAAAATAAAGAAGTCTTGTATCTTCAAAGTACACTTTGCACTTTGGTTTTGTGCAAATTAAAACAACCATATCGTTTCTGCATCTTCATATTCATATGAAAGACGTGAGAATGATGCAGATCTTCCAATCCAACAGTTGAAGAACCAATATTTACCGTATTTTTTCGCCTTTTCAGCTTTAGTTTTTTAGTCTTAGATGCTGTTTTTTCTGCAGTGCGTCATTCCAACAGGTGTTTCCAGACGCAGTAAAGTGTGTATTTGTGGCTGGTTGTGTCTTTGATGCTGACGTGGCCGTTTATCGGGTGCAGGGACCCTCCATAAACGCTCCTGTTCTTTTTTTTTTTTTTCTTTCCTCGACTGTTGCCTGAGTCCAACCCGGCACGTGCTCACATGCCAACTTCCCCACCTGCCCGCTCGCCAACGGAAAAAGCAGGCCGACCACGCTGCTGCTGCTGCTGCTGCTTGCGTCGCGCCGATTAGCCGGTGCACGTACGGTATAATCTGAACACACATCTGCAGGCCGTCACTTGCGAATGCACACTGGCAGACGTCACGCTCCTCGGTTGGAGCTTTACTCTATTGGCTGGTCTTAACTGCTTTGTAGTATTTTTAGGCCTGTTATTCTGGGGCCTGTCCTGGCAGGCCACTGGGAGAGTATATAAGCCTCCCCCTGCTGCAGCTGGGGACCACTGACAACTCGCAGTGGAAACATCTCGGCCCCGACGCTCCAGCAAACATCCAGCAGGCATTTTAAATCCTCTCAGGGTGAGTAGAAAGCCTCAACCTGCCTCTGCGGCCGCTGCTTTTGAGCGCAAATCAGACAAGAATTGAGCGTTTTGAAGAGTTGCGAACATTAAAAGTGGTGTCATTAGTCGGAAATTGTGGATAAAATGAAGGTTCCAGAAGGTTTTGAGCGGCAAAATGAGCATTAGCACGAAAACTGCGAGGTCTGAAAACATCCGAAACGGTCAGAAAAATATTCTACAGAACAAATTAGTAAACTCCAAACAAAATAAAACCAAATTCATGGACTGACCTAATGTGTTAACAAGTTGTTCTGCAAGGTTTTAATTAACATCTGAACAGGTCGTCACTGTTAGCAGGCAGACTTCCAACCCAACAAGACTTTTATTATGTAACAGTAGAAGATAATTCTTGCAGAATAGATGTATAAAGTCTTGTGTTGGAGATTCACACCAAAAGAGTTTGAACACGAGTGTGAAAATAGAAAAAACGCGAAGTCTGCAAACATCNAGCCCTGAACTAATAATAACAGAAATATTTCCTTTTTTTGTGCAATATTTCATGAAATGACTTTGCTGCTTCTGAATGATTACTTCTTGTTCTATTTGTTCTATTTTATTGTATTTATTTTCAATTTTTTTCTGAACAATATTTGATGCAAGAATTTCCTTTAGAGTTAATAGATTTAGTTATCTTGCAGTTTATTTGACTTGACACACTGAAGTATCCTTTAAAATATTTAATTTGTCAGTATGTACTCGTATGCACCAAACTCCTGCTATAATTCTGGTCTAACATGTTTTTCAATGACTGTAGACAGACAATGAAAAAAAAAAAGAACGACTGAGGTGCAAATCGTGCAGGTTGAAGAAACAGCAATAAGGTTCCTAAAAATGCTGCTATTTACAGAAATGTGCAGAAATCATTAGTGTTCACAAAAAGCTGCAGACTGGTGCTAATGACAATAAAACAGAATGTTATGAGAGAACACATAAAAACTTCTATCTGTTGACCAACAGCTGTTCTACTGTGAGAATAAAGTTGTTCTATTCAGCCTCCTCTTGTTCTGACTCTGAGTGAACTCTTAAACTCGTGAACTCCAAAGTACCTGAGCTCCACGTGTGCTGCTCATAAAGACTGGAAGCAGATTAACATCGCTGCTGCTTCTCAGCCCGCAGTGATCTCCTGCTTCCCTTTTTAAAAAAAATTTTTATTCCTCTGCCACATCAATACTTCACATCTCCCCTCGGTGAGCCTCAGAATCCCCCCGACTGCTCCTCCGCTCTCCCTAATAAGCCAGAACGAGGTTCCTCGGCTGGCAGCTGCTCCAGATGGCATTATTACTCTGCAGTTTCCCCGTCATCTGGCTCAGAGGTGGAGGTCCCTCTGCCGTCCCGCGAGTCAACATCAACACCAGCATATGGCGGCGTTATGTAACACTGCATCACCCGGCAACTTCTTCTTCTCCTCTCTCCTGCTCGATCTGCGTTTTCCTTTCTGCTGCATTTACGCGGGAACGAAGAGTGTTGAGTTGGAGATAAAGGCGAGAAAAACCTCTCATGAAAAGAAGAAGAAGAAGAAGAAAATAAAAAACGCCTGCAGACCTACTTGAAAAGGCCCGAAATTGGTTTGGCTTAAAAGTTCAAAGCTCCACGACGGATGCAGGAGACGACGGAGCAGCTTTGATTAAAGTACGTTTAGGTGAAGTCTCTCTGTGGTGCATTCTTTAAATGAACCTTGTGTCTGGTGGAAAAATGTCATTTACGAGTGTTTTTATGTCATTTATCCATTTTCATCTGCATCCAAGGCGTGTTTAGAAGTTATTCTGAGTCTGTCGTTCATGTCATCATCCACAGTTTTTCATTTCTACCTGGAGATTTGTGTGTTTCTTGGATTCTACAAACACTTTTTTATATCTACAGATATTCTTTTAGAGCAAAGTAGGAGTTCATCATCACATTTCTTCTGCATAAAATAGATTAGGACCTTAATTTTGAATATCTGCTCCCAAAGTGTTGAATTAAATCCTAGTTTTTTTGATAAAAACTTGCTTTCTTGCGATGAAAACACTGTTAACGCTTCCACATAAGTACAAATAAGAGGCACGTGTACTTTGCTTACGTATTTCCACTTTTTATAACTTTATATTTCTATTTTACTACATCACAGGTGCAAATATTGCACTTTTTTTTTTGCTTTAATACATTAGTAGGGCAGCTTTATT